CTCTCTCTCTCTCTCTCTCTCTCTCTCTCTCTCTCTCTCTCTCTCTCTCTCTCTCTCTCTCTCTCTCTCTCTCTCTCTCTCTCCACCTAAATATTTCTTAATTGAATGGTTTGCTGTGGAGCTTCCTTATAGCAGTTTAATAGATTAACTCATCTGAGCCAGCCTCAAATTTCAGATTAAAATTCCTTCATCCCGAAGGCAGCATTATCAGGTTGTTGGAGGCTGTTTTCAAACCTTGGTTTTGAATAGCAGCGGCTCTGCATTAATTTAACCACTAAGCTAATAAGTAGGTTTCGTTTTGTTATGCTAAGCTTTATTGCTTTTCTTTTGATCAGAATGGTGTTGTTGAGCAAAGCAGCAGACAAGGCATTCTTTGATGAGGGAATTAGCGCTCCATTCTTCCTCTATTATTCATAGCACAGTGGAATATGTAAGTACCTGAGGGTGTCAAAGGAGCGCAGGTTCTATTGCAAAGTGCTCGCCTTGTTTCTCTCAATAGCTGACTATGAGATGATAAACCGCTTAATACACTGTGCTAATTGGATGAGAGCAAAAAGAGATGGGAATTAAGGCGAGGCAAAAGGAGAAAGTGCAACCAGCCTTCAATTCACTCTTTCACCACTTTACCAGCACCAAAGGAGGCACAAGCTTTCTATAAGCAGACTAGAGGTTTTGTGCAGAGATAAAATGAACGTGTTAGTGGATTCAAGTAATACACTAATTATTGCACAGTATAAATACCACTACTGGTTTTATAACAGGGAGGTAAACTTCTTTTGAGAGGGTTATAGGATTGCTTGGCAGTGGTGTAGAACCTAATAAGGGCCCAGAGTAATAACCCCCTGGATTAACAAAATTGCTGCTTGTTAGAAGTATGATTCAGGCTTTTATGAAGATTTCCCGAGAATGAATAAAAATGACTGAATGACATTTCTTAACGTATAACCGGCAATCGCTACCTTTTAAAGGAAAAATGTATACTTGAAGCTGGACCGTTAATAACGTCCAGGGACAACACGACTTTTTCCTTTGAAAAAAGCTTTTCCCCCGTCAGGTAGCAGGTTTTCTTCTCCCCGCCCCCCCAGCCAGGCTACCACTGTCAGTTAAATATGCAGTTGCTCTGGAGAACTCGGTGTTCCAAAATACCATTTTAGACCCCATTTAAGACCCCCTTCATTCAGACACACTCACTTTTGTGTATACACATACACACATGCTCACGTATACATTTTTTCCTATAAAAGCAAGTTGAACTAACCCTTGTATAATTTTCTTTCCTCTAATAGCCCCCTTTTCCACTCTAGTAAGATCGCCACCCTGAAAACGATAAGAAAAAGAGAACTACAGGTACCTTGTCTCTTGGTATTATAAATAAAAAACAGCAATAATAAATGTTTGCCCCAATTGGGGGAGAGGAGGGAGAAAAAAATGGGAAACTGGCCACAGCTAATACCAGTACTGGTGACAGTAGCTGAAAACTGAGTTTCAAGTCCCCAGTCGTCCCAAACCTCTTCAATGGTCATTCCCCTAATTTATCCACTTTCTGTCTTTCTCACCACAAACCTAAGATGTCCACCCCAACTACTGTCCACAGTCCAGGCCGTAGGTAGTTGGTGGTGGAAGAACACTTAGGGGCACCTCCTAATAATATGCCAACTGCTTCCTTCTTGCCTTTTCTTTGGGGGCCTCATCCAGATCTGGCTAGACTGTCTTGAAAATGTAGCAAATAAATTAATTTACCCCTTCCCTTCTTCCTTCCCACAGAGGCGCAGACCAGGCTCCCAAGATGCTGTGGGGGTGGCTCTGGGAAAGCAGGTGGTGGGGCATTCTGCTCTGGGTGTGATGGAGGACAGCTATGTCCCTATCATGAGGCCAACTCTCCCGAATTCTCCTGAGCTCCGCACCTCCTCCACCATGGTGGAAGAGGTTTGCTTAAGGTTGGGGGTGAGGTCAGCCGCTCCCAGCATTGTGACCATGTTCCCAGATATTGGGGCCAAATTGGGTTGCCATTCATTAATAATGCTTACAATAAGATTAAATCATTCTGGAAAATCTCATAAAATCCCCCTAAGTACGCTCCACTGGCTCTTTCCAATCCCCATCATTCACTTGGGGAGGTTTGGAAGGAGAAGAAAATTGGTTTCTTTGCTTTTAATGCTGCTTTGAAAAGATACTCAGAGTTTGTCATGCGTGACATGTCACATGTTTAATGTGGACTTGCTGGAAGTCAGGGGGTCTTTAGCGTGTGATATTTATGGGGAATATTAAGTGCAGAATGAGGTCCCTCCAGCTGGGGAAAGTTGAAAGAATAGGAGGCCCAGGACTGGGCTTGTTTGCGGCCATCAGAATGACATAGGATTAAGAGTTTGTAAAACAAGGCGAGGGGTTCTCATTGGCCAGTAATAAATGTAATCCTTGGAGGTAATTTCACGCAATTTGCTTCTGCTCCATGGAAGGGTCAAATGAGAAAAAATGACTTAAAAAAGAGTTCATTAACAGGAAGAATGGTACTGTTTCTCGTATACCATCCAACTGGCAGCCTGGAGGGGGAAAAAACCTCTACCTATACAAAAAGCCAAAATCGACGGAAAATTGATATTGACCACTAAAAAAAAGCCCTTTCCCTCACGTTCCTCCCGCTGTCCCGTCTCCACCCCAAACTCCCGAGTAGCCCGGCCCACCCCAGGAAATCGGCCATAACCCCAGGGGACCCCCGTGGAGTCTGGAGGGTTGTGACACTCAGATCTTGGGGCAATGTTCTAGAAAGTTCCCCGCCGGGCCTGCTAAACCCGAGAAAGGAGTGTGTGGCAGGAATGGCTGAGGAAAGGTAGTTGGTGGCTTGCGCCCCAAGCCCGAGGCCGGGTCCCTGCTTGCGAGAGAGTCCAGGACCTAAGCAGTGTGGCGGTGGCCCGCCCGACGGTTCAGACCAGAGGGCGCGCTCCCCACGGTTTCCAGCCGGATTGCGGGGGCGGGGGAGACAAGGACGCCCGGGCTCTAGCGCTCCGCAGCTGCCAAGCAGGCTGCCCATCCGGAGCTTCCGATGACCTCGGCTCGACCCCGCACCTGCCCCTGGGCTACGCACACTGGTGCCTCAGGCCGCGTGGGGACCCGCCCCCCCCTTCTCCAGGGTGCTGCCTGGGGGAGGCACCTAAGGATTCCAAAATTTTGTAAAATG